TCTCATGTATTTATTCCTAGAATTGCTAGCACTGATCTCAACCATGTTACACACGGTCCTGCAGCCTGCTGGCTCTTTCACCCACTGAACAGGTCTGTGATTCAAATTTTCCTCACTCTCCATCTTCCTCTAAGCCATTCATTCACTTCAAGATAGCAAAATCCATAGTGCCTTTCTGTTGTTTTTATCAAAATCTCAGTTATTCAATTTTACCAATGAAGACTCAGATGCTGGGGTTAAAACTGGCTAGCTCAGAGAGACAGATGAAGCAGTCGGCTGACCTTCTTCCTCTGCTGACATCCCCCAAACACCTCTTCTCTTATACCACCTCAAACAAGACTCCTCCAACTCAATGTCTTGCCACTCTACTTCCTATGTGTCTCTCTACCCATTCTCCTGACTCCCTCTTACTCTCTATTTTTCCTCAATAATCCTGTGTTCACCTCCTGTCAATTGGTTGTTTGCTCTGCCTCTTGACCTAAGGCTGACTTTATGTAACCCTGTTTGCAATATTCAAGCAGAAAGCTCTTATACTGAAGAGTGGGTGAGAACTGAGCCACACCACTAGAAGCAGGTGTCTCCAGTAAATAATGCGATCTCGGGGTCCACAGTGTGATCAAATACCCTGCAACACCTGCAAACATCCTCCATCACCACTGTAGCCCAGAACCTAGCAGAGCCCATGACACACAATAGTGCAGAATAACAGTGTTTCTTCTTAACAATGTTTACTCACCTGAAGTGACCCAGACTTTGAGAAGGAAGGGAGCCACTGTCCGCATTGTTTGCCCTCTTTCTTGGGAAGAATGTGGGGATATTCAAAACCATGAAGCTGTCTTCTATCTCAGTCCATTATTTTAGCAGTCAGTTTTTTTTTAAAACGGGCTTAAAACTTCATAAGTTTTTATCTGTTCAAGATATCTCAGCTGGGCCATGGTGGCAAACGCCTTTAATCCCAGCACTCGGAAGACAGAGGCAGGCAAATCTCTGTGAGTTCGAGTCCAGCCTGGCCTACAAGAGCTAGTTCAGGACAGCTAAGACAGTTACACAGGGAAACCCTATCTCGAAAAACCAAACAAAAACTCTCTCTCTCTCTCTCTCTCTCTCTCTCTCTCTCTCTCTCTCTCAAATTTGTGTTATGCAACATGAATTCACTGGAACAAAAACAATGTCATGTCTTTTCCCCAGCTGGATCACTAACTTTATGGAAATACTGTACATCAGGAATCCCCAAAAGGTCAAATTATTCCTCCATCTCCAGAATGATCCACGTTCTATGTGTGCTTTATTTTCCAGGAAAAGAGCTATAACATGGGGGAACAAATAGAATATTCTAGCTAATAAATTTGCCTTGCAATGCTTTGCTTTATTTACTGTAAAAGACTTTTTCCTCTTCCTGGTTCTTGTTTGATTAATTGCTTGTTTGTTTGTTTGTTTGTTTGAGACAGGATCTCTGTATAGCCTTGGCTGTCTTCCAACTCTCTACGTATGCCAGACTGGCCTTGAATTCACAGAGATCCACCAGCCTCTGCCCCTCAAGTACTGAGATTAAGGGCAAGTGCCACCTTGCCCAGCTCTTCCTGGCTTCTTGAATTAATGTATCTTCACTCTCTGTTTTATTTACTTATTGTTTGTTTGTTTGCTTGTTTGTTCATCTCTTTGCTCACTCATTCACTGAGCTGGAGTTCACACCATATAGCCCAGGCTGGCTTGGAACTCAGCATTGCAATCTGTGCTGACCTTAAACACATGGTGATCCTCCTGCCTCTGGAATACTGAAATCATAGGCATGCACCCCAATGACATGTCTTATTCCTTTAATGTATTATTTAAGTTGATGCAGAAGACTCTGAGTGCTACTCTGGTTATGTTAACATAAGCTTTAAATCATTGTTTCTCATTTGTAGTTTATTAGAGAACAGGTTATAATCTTAGTTTAAATTTCTGAACACTTAGAGAATTGTGTACAATCACTGAATTTTTATTCTCACTTTAATTTCTGATCTTACTTAATTGAAATCAGAGAATCAATATTATATTAATTATGATTTCGACAATTTCTTAAATTTTGAGATATTTCCCTTTATTTATTGTTAAACCTTCATAGTTATTCTGTGGATGTTAGAAATAATGTGCTTGTATTTTTTTTAACAAAAATAGGTATAAGGGCTGGGAATACACCACAGCTGGCAGAGGGATCGCCTAGCATGTACCTCGTACACTGAATATAATGGTACCACTATAATGCCAGCGCTCAAGAGGTGGAGGCAGGAAGATCAGAAATTGGAAGTTATCCTTGACTACATAGGGAATTTGAGGCCAGTCTAGGTTAGAGAACTTACATATAAATAGATAGATGATAGAGAGATAGATGATAGATAGATAGATAGATGATAGATAGATAGATAGACAGACAGATAGGTAAATGGAGGTCTATAAGAACAAATTTGCCAATTGTATTGTTCAAATTTTTACATTATTCTTAAATTTTACTTTATATTATTTGAATTCTCCATTTTCTTTTTTCTTTAAAAATTTTCATATTTTTAAATTTTTAAATTTAAATTTTTAATTTTTAAGAATTTCATATTTTCATATTACATAACAATCCCAGTTGCCCCTCCCACACCCCTTCTCCCACCTCCCTATCTTCCTCCATCCAAACCTCTCCCATCCTCTGTCCACTCCTCAGAAGGGATAAAGACTCTGTTGGGGAGTCAACAAAGTCTGGCATAAAGTTAAGGCAGGTCCAAGTCCCCCCTTCCTGCGTCAAGGCTGAGCAAGGTATCCCAAAATAGGGAATGGGTTCCAAAAAACCTAGTTCATGTACCTAGGATAAGTCCTGGTTCCATTGCCAGGACCCCCCAGCAGATCAAGCCACATAACTGTCATCCTCATTCAGAGGGCCTGGTTTGGTCCCATGCAGTTACCCAGCTGACAGTCCAGAGTCCATGAGCTCCCACTAGCTTGAGTCAGCTCTTGCTGTGATTTTCCCCACCGTGATTTTGATATCCACTTCGTGCATATGATCCCTCCTCCCCCTCTTCAACTGAAGTCTAGGAACTCAATCCAGTGCTTTACTGTGGATCACTGTGTGGAGGCCCAAAAATGTGAGCCTATTTCCACCTTGTCTGACAGTCAGAGAGTTTGGAGGTTGCTCAAAATACTTGATAAGTGTAGCTGCACGTTCCAACTCAGGATGTGATTACCTGGTTCTTTTGACATTGAGACAGTTCATACAAGTAGATCCGTTCCATCCTGACAGATGGTCAGGATATGCAAGCAGACTTCTGTTCCTTGTTTTGTAATTATGAGGTCACCTGAGGAGTGGCTGCTTTCAGGATGTGTGGTCTAGGGTAGCTTCACTGCCTAAACAACAGAATGCAAGTGATTTGATGTCTCAAAGTGTTAAAGTGATTTACTATTTGAATTGCCTTTTGTATCATGCTAAGAAAGTCTTTTGTTACATTCTCCTCCCTTTTGTATTGGGTATAAAAGCTTTTGGAAAAATAAACACAGGTGATTTCAGTATTCACTGGAATGCCCTCCCTGTACTTCCTATGGCTTCTGTTTTTATTATTTTCATGTCTTCATATTCTTTACTTATATTTCTAATTCCCCACACCCCGCACCCTGGTAAGAAGTGTTTTTGTTGAGGCTGATCCACAACATATGATGCCCAATGCGGCGCAGTCCCCGACAAATGGCCCCCAACGTGGGGCAAAAGGTGAACCCCAAAATGCACTGAAGTGTAGCCAGGTATACAAGGGAGTATGTGAAGGACCCCACAAGAAAATCGCACCCACAGGTGGAGAGGTAATTAGTGAGCACTCGGAAATAAATAGCAGATCATAAAAAAAGGAACGAGAAAGGCAGGGCAAAAAATTGGGAGTAAAACTGTAAATATTAGTAAATATGGGACAAGAAAATAGTATTCAATTATCTGTACAGTCGCTTGGATGTATTTTGATAGAAGAGCTGAAGTGGAGCGAAAACAACGGCAGAGATTTTTAGAGTTTGTGGATATTATGTTCTCACCCTCATACTGGCAGGGGTGCCTTCAGGCTCTCCAGACTCAGAGAGGCCAAAGTGAGGCCTCACCTTCACCCATGCAGTGGGCAGTGCTTTGGACACCTAGCCACAGGCTCTGTTGCTGCTGAGGGTGGGGAGAATGAAGGGAATGTGGCGTATGGCCTGGCAAAGGCCACTGAGATTGTGGCAGTCCACACGCACACGCTGTAGCCAGCTGAGTCTGGCTCACACTGTGCAGTGGAGCCAGGAAAGACAGACAGGAAAGTTTAAAGGGCTATACCTCCCACAGTCAGAGGCTGGAGTAGGTCAATAGAAATACCTAGAGGCTATTTGTCTCATGAGCCAAGGAACCTATAATGGATAAATCTATGACTTTTAATAGAGGAGAGGATTCAGAAATTCTCCAGTTTTGTGATTACAAGATGTAAAATAAAAAAAACAAGGACAGTAAAAATCAGCGTGCCTATACCCACCTAAGCTTGTGGTCTCACGCAGCAATCTCAGAACCTCTACAATGGCAGACACTGGAGAGCCTGTGAATTTGTCCGCTGCTTCTAACACTGGCCTCTGTTGGAACTACTAAATGTAAAAAACATGACCTGTGCCCGGGCAGAGCAGGCAATGAGAGACTGGCACCCACTAGTCTCAAGTACTGGTGGAACGCTGCCAAGTTCCTGAGCCTGCTGGCCAAACTGCTAAAAAGTAGCCTCGGGGAACTGCAGCTTCAGGCCAGTCAAGCATCTGTGAAAATGTAAATAAGAAAGTTAAGGTCTGTCAGCTAGGCAGACCTGCAACTTGGATTAGAAAGATTGCTTACAAATTTTCAATAAAATATCCAATGCTGAAAAACTTATTTAAAATACCCTACAGAAGACCTTGAGCCACTAAGTAAAATTCTCAAAGGGAGTAATGTTCCAAATTCCAAAATTCTCAAAGGGAGTAACGTTCCAAATTCCAGTGGACAGCTTACAGAAGCTGCCAGAGAGGTATTCACCCAGGTAGAGCATGCTACACAGAAACAGCAAGTACATTCTATTAATTAGGATCAGCCTTAACGAGCAAGTATTTACCTACTCACTCCTACAGCAGCGCTATTGCAGAATGGCCCATTTATGGCTACACCTTCCCATTTCACCAGTTGAGGTATTAAACCCTTATTTTGAAGCAGTAGCTTGTTTAGCACAGCAGAGCAGAATGGAATCTAGGAGGCTCGCTGGCCGAGAACCAGCTATAATCCTTGTTCCTTATACTAAGCAACAAGTTCATTGATTATTTCAAAATAGTGATTCTTGGGCAATTGTGTTTGTTCAAATTAAAGGCCAAATTAATAATCTTTTCCCAGATCCTTAGCTGCAATCTGTGCGACTACATTCCTTATTTTCCCTCAAGTTGTAGCAAAAGATCACTTTGGGTGACTGTCCAGGCAGTGAGATGTCTCTGTCAATTTTAGAGTTTGGAAGTTGCTTACAATGTACTTCCTGTTTACTTAGGTAATATTATACCCTTCTGGAGTCTTTGATGGAGGTGAAGAATCGATAAATAGTTATAGTTCTCCTTAGTTATGATAAAAGATAAAGTAAACAGAAATATTGTAACTGTAATTCTTGCTTGATACCTGTTTTGTTAAATGTAATTTTACTATGTTAAAGTTAAAGCCTTCCTTTTTACTTATGCAGAAAAGGGTAGATGATGTGGAAGTCCCCTCTGTGTGCTGTGATTACCATTAATGAATAAAGAAACTACCTTGGCCTGTTGATAGGGCAGAAAACTAAATGGGAAATGCTGGGAGGAAGAAGGCAAAGTCAGAGAGAGACGCTCTCAAATTATTATAGGACCCCCAAGTACCTGAGCACATGTGCACACGTACAAAAAATAGTTGTGAAAAATTGTATACGGCAATGAGCACACACATTTTCTTATATTTCGTTGATGGCAACTAATTTTGACAGAAATGCCCTTTGCTGGCTTTAAGGAAGCAAACAGTGTACTGGGTAATTCAGGAAGTAAGAGTAGTGCTGTCATAGACACCATTCGTCCTTCCTAGTAGAGGCTCCACCCACATACTGAAAATGTTGAGGCCATGGACCTTAAAGAGATGTAGTCTAGTAGGAAGTTACTACTGCCTCCTCCTTTAAGTGTGGCTTCTTTTCTAATTAGTTTGAATAATTTCACTGTTGAAAAAGCTGTAGATTTTCTCCATAGATTTAATGGTTCTGGCACACAACTTAAAGGGTTAAAATCATTCTTGAAACTTGAATATTGTTGACATGAGAAATTGTTGGTCTATTCTAGCTTATCTGCTGGGAGGGAAAACAGAAATGAATATGATCATTGCACAAAAACATTGAAGAGACAGTTAACAAATTTGTTGGTTCAGTAGGGACTTGCCCAACACTTGTGTAGAGAAGATAGGGGTCAGATGTCACTTAAAGCAAAGCTTCCCATCCAATCGCTTTGCAGCTTGTGTGGCCATGGAAATAGCACCTCTGGAATTCATCAAGGTTTGTGCAGAGGAGGCTTCTTTGATTCTAGAAGACCAACAGGGCTAACCTCGACAGAAACTTATCTGAAGTACAGAAAACCGGTTTCTCGGATTTGGCTTCACAAAGATATCTTTGTAGGACATCTCGCGTGGTAAGGCTTACCTTGTACCTGTGAAGCAAATCTGGGACCTATAGAATTGTTGTGGATGAAACCTGCTATGCAGATATCAGTATCTCATTGTCAAGTTTGGGCTTACTTCACACTGTTATTTTACTATGTCTTCTGTTAGAAAGACTAAACGAGTTGATTGTCTGTTTAGAGATTCTCAATCCTCCATAGCCAGATCAACTTTGAGGGACTTGATGGAATCATTTCTGAATTTGATATGCTGAGGACTGGCCATAAGAGAAAAAAAAAAGTTCTTGAACTATCTTCACATAAGGAACAACAGAGCAGGGTTTATTCCTTGGTTTCTGTCTTTGTTTCACGTACATATTATTTTTCTCTCTTCTTCCTCCTCCTCCTCCTCCTCCATCTCTTTTCTGGGCAGGGTCTTATGTATCCCAGGCTGCCCTGGAACTCTATAAGTAGCCAAACATGGCCTTGAATTCCTGATCCCCCTGCTTCTGCCTCCCAAATTCTGGGATTACAGGCATGCAGCACTATGTACCACTTGTGTAGTGCTGAGATCATACTTCAGGGTTTTATACGTGCTAGACAAGTGCCCTATCAACTAATCTACATCCTTACCCTGTTTTCAGCATAGAATAACAGTCAGAAATGTCCTATTTAACTCAATATTTACTTAATGTTTTGTCATTTTCAAACTTTTTATATCTGTGCATAATTCTTCAATAAATGGACAACAGCAAAAGAAGAAAGATACATAAGATAAATTTTTCCAGATAGTCATTCATCTGAAATAAGTTCATTGGTCTGTCCCCCAAAACTTGACTTGTATAGACTTGGAACTTGTATAGGTCCCAAAGCATCCTGTGATTTCAGAAACAAGGAGTTGTGGGTCGGGATGGAGAGGAACTACCATGTTGTCAGCAACAGACAGAAAAGAGCTGGAGAAATCAAATGTTAGAAACGCTACTGAAAAAAACAAATGACCATGCAATTTAAGAAATGAACCTGAAAAATGAAAGAAATACAGATTTATTCCTAATTATCAATATCGATATCAGGCAGAGAATGGCAAAATCCAGATAATAATCCAAAACTCAATAAGCCAAGAAGCAACCTCACTATTGTCTAATAGAAACTTTAAGCTTACATTACACAAATTAAACTCCTGATTAGCTCCTCAATACTGTTGCACATAACTCTCCCAAGAGAACCACCCAATAGTTAAAGTCAGAACCTGAAAGTCCTTACCTCCCTCCAGACACCCTTCACACATTTCCCGTTCCTCCGCCACATGCATCTTCCCTCTCAACGTGCCCTTCCGAATATCTCTGACACCCATTTCACTGTTTCCAAATGCGCCATCTTGTCCAGGCTGCATCATTTCCCACACAGACTACAGTCACCACTGAACTGCTGCCCGTGTTTGTTCTTTTACATTCACATTCTGTTCTGCACATCCCACATTAATCCAAAGTTGAGAAGCAACTTTTAGGACTTGTGTAGTGGTTTGCATGAGAAATGCCCCCAAAGGCTTAGACAAATGTTCCCAGTTGGTGGCATTGTTTGGGAAGGCTGTGAAACCTCTAGGAGGTGGAGCCTTGCTGGAGGAATGGGGCAGGGGGAGTGAATGTTTATATTTTAATTCCGCTTCTTGTTTGGTCTCTGCTTCACGCGTGCTGCTAAAGATGTGATCTCTCAGCTTCCTGCTCTGACCACCAGGCCAGCTGCTTATGGACCAGCTACCCTGCCATGATGACTTCTGAGCCCTCTTACCGTTGTAAGGCAAAATAAATTTTTTTCATCCATTAATTGCTTTTGGTCATGGGGCTTTATCACAGAAAATTAACAATATAGCATTCATTTTAAGACACAGCACCTAAGTCACATGTCATGAATGACAAATCAAGAAGACAGATAGAACACGGATTCCTAAACCATGTCATCATCCCAGCAAGGCTTATCCTCAGAGAAAGGAGTTCATTTAAGTTTTGTTTTAGCCATGGTATCGAGGGATTTATGGCAGCCAAAATGTTGAACTCAAAGACACACTTTCTGGGAGGTGATATATTCTGGTGAGAAGTGTGACTTTAGGGAAGGAGAAGACTACTCCATCTTTCCTTGCCTTCTCTGAAGGATCTTGTGGGCATGGTGCTTCTCACCAGAGGGGGTGTGGCCTGTGTCCCCTAAGCTGCTAGGAACAGCAAAATAAACAGTGTTTCCAAACCTCTGCAGGGCATGGACTGTCTGTAGGAAGGAAATTGCTTCCAGAGTAACATGTATGTTTTCTCCATCTGAGAATCTGTTCCTTGAAACTGTAGATTGATTCTACCATATCATTTCGTACAGCTCCAATGAGTTCTTTTGCATACAAGCCATGCTGGTCAGCTTTGACCACTATAACAAAATGTCTGAGATAATAAACTTTTAAAGTAGAATGCTTTATCTTGGCTCATAGTTCTAAAGATTTCAACCTTAAATTTCAATAAGTCTATGGCTTGTGGGTGGGTCAGTGGTGAGGCAGGGAACCATGGTAGGAGTGAATGATAGAGGAAGCACTCACAGCAAGAAGAGAGGATAGAGTTCTTCAAGGTCGTGCTCCCAACGTCCTAAAGGCCTCCTACCAGCCTTGTCTCTTAAAGGCTGTGCCATCTCCTAACCACAGACTGGGTACTGAGACTTTAACTCACAGTCCACCGGGAACACTTATCTAACCCACGGCAGTATGTTAAGTACTAATTGTAATTGAATGCAAACCTTTCTGAGATGCAGCCTTCCCTGTGAGCCAGCTGAAGCTTGGGCCTCCCTTATCGTCAGTGATAACTATTAACATTTTAACCAATTACTAGCTGTATATTTAGTATTAAACTTCTTGACAAGTTAGCTGCGCTGCTTTGTTTACATGTCTGCTAGTATTGTAGTAAATGAAATTAAGTGCACAATGAATTCTTCCAGGTGGTGGCAAGAAAAACTTGTTAAACTTGTTGAGCAGAAGCTCTAATGGTTAAAAGCTTAACCATTCAGGTATACAGGCAGAATGGCTCATGCCCGTACTCCTAGCACTCAAAAGACTAAGGCAGAGGCAGGCAGATCTCTGTAAGTTCCAGGCTAGCCTGACCACAAAGTAAGCTCCAGTACAGTCAAGGCTATTACACAAAGAAACCTTGTCAATATCCCCCCATTAAAATAAATAAATATAAAAGAAGTTCACTCTACAAATAATAAATACAAGAGGCAACAAGAGGTGATAACAAGGTAAAGTGAAGAAGGAAGAAGATTAACCTGGGACTAAATCAATCAATCTCTAAAGTGAAGGAGGACAAAGATTAACCCGGGAATAAATCAATCTCCTCTCTCTCTCTCTCTCTTTCTCTCTCTCTCTCTCTCTCTCTCTCTCTCAGAGTAATAAGGAAATGTTTGGAGTCTACTGGTATTCTCTATGGCTTCTAAGGAAGGCTTGTTTCTTTCACTGCATATCCAATGTCAGTGGCTCCAATGCATCTCTTGCTGTTCCTGGGGCAGGAATTAGGCGTCTCCATCAGCCCATCTGGAATGCCATAGTCTCTGTGGCACAAGGAAAAGAGAGATGGAAAACCACGCTCTAGTTGATAATGTTTCTCCCACAACATTGTCTTGGGCCACTCACAGAAACAAAACTAAGTTGATCAAAATGGGAATGTAGAAAAGAGGCTGTGTATATGGATGAGCACAGGAATAAAAAGGGACTTCAGATCTGAGTGAACAGCACCATATGCCACAGAGCCACCTTGGTTGGCTCAGTAAATATTTACTAACCCCTTAACATGTGTCTAGCACTACACTTCCCCTGGAAACAGATCCATACATAAGGTATACCTCTGTTCCTATAGTTATTATTGACTAGGGAGTTCCTACATGATGGCCTAAGTTTTACCTAAACCATAGGCAGCTACATCATCTTCTTAGACAAGGGGAGCAGTTTGGATGCAAGGATTTGAGCAGAAGGGCAAATGTTTTAAATAATTGTTAAGTAAAATGGGAAATGAAGCTGAAGGGGAAATATGAGGGTTCTAGATGATATAACGTGTCTGCTATGAACCGCCAGCTCATAATTATGTCATGTTCTCGATCAATGCATTGTAAGTGGAAGTTTCTGTCTAACAAACTGCTCCCAAATAACCACACAGAGGCTCAATATTAATTATAAATGCTCAGCCAATAACTCGGGCTTATTACTAGCTAACTCTTGCATTTTCAATTAACCCTTATCTTTATCTACACTTTGCCCCATGGCTTGGTACCTTTTCTCAGTACATCATGCCCATTTTTGCTTCTCTCTGCATCTGTTCACTACTCTGGAGTTCACCCTTCTTCCCAGTATTCTCAGTTTGCCTCTCCCTCCTAACCTTATTCTGTTCAGCTATTTAGTAAACCAACCACAGCAATACATATTCACACAGTGTAAAGGAATATTCCGCAATGCATAATAACCTGGCTACTTCAAAATGCTCTACAGTAAAGGTCTTAAGATTGGAGGGCTTTGATCCAAACTTGACAGAGGTGATACCAGTAATAAATAGAGTCCAAGCTAGGTGGTACTGTGCATTGAATGTAAATGTGCTCATAAATTTATATGCTGAAGGTTTGATTCCCAGCTGCTGGGACTATTTTGGGGGGTCCTGGAAACTATAACATGTGGCCACTAGCAAGTTTTTTTTAATACCTACCCTGCCCCTTGTCCTCAACCCCTTCCTCATGTCTCCTATGGGGAGGCAAGCTTTCCTTATCATGCCTTTTAACCATGATGAAGGCCAAGAAACATGGATCACAGCAAATGACCATGGACTGAAAACTCTCAAACAATGAGTCAAGATGATTCATTCCTCAAGTTGCTTGAGGTATTTACTATATGATATATTTGCAACAATGAATGACTAACACCAAAAAAAATTTGATGATAGAGAAATAGGGTCATCGCTGTTGTCATCGGAAACTTTAGAGAATCCCACGTTGGACACAACATGATACTGGGGAATCTGGGACTCCCTTTTGTGGATTCTTGGTCTTATTAATAAAAACAAGAATCAAAAGGGAAGTTTGAAGAGAACTTACTAGAGTTTGAGAGAAAAACCACAGTGTGGGGAAGCTGTAAATCATGGCAGTCGGAGGAAACAAAGAAGAGAGAGAGAGAGCCGTGCCTTTGTAAGCAGCCACACAGTGAAAGGGCAGGGCAGCTTCTCAGGAAAGTGAGAAGGCCCGTGGGCATCACGGAAAGCAAGCCTATGTTTTACAAAAAGAGGAAAAAAAGAAAGGTTCAAGTTTTCCGAGTAACCCAGAAAAACCAGGCAGGTTTGTCGTCGGATTTCCTTTGTACTGCCAGTTCCCAAATAATAGCACAAGACTTCTTATTAATGATGAGAGCTTGACCTTAGCTTAGACTTCTTCCCAGGTAAATTTTATAATTAATAATTTAAATCAGCCCATTTCTATTAATCTATGTTCTGCCATGTGGCTCATGACCTCTCTCCCTACTGCACATCCAACTCTGAATCTGGCTGGTAAATCTCTGCTGCCATAGAGTCTTCCCAAGTTCCCCCCCCCCTCGCCCCACCTATTCTCTCCTGTCTTGCTATTGGCCATTCAACTCTTTATTAAACCAATCAGAAGGCACCTTAGGCAGAGACATAGCCTCACAGTGTACAAAAAGATTATCTCACAACACAGGCTTCTCGGAGCTGCTTGGTGGTGATGCTGCCAGCCACCGCATAGAGGCCGGGGTGTCTAGGGAGGATAATTATTCCTCCCATCTTCTTAACCTGATTTTAGGTGGATCCGTGATGTAATAGGCTGCTTGTTTGTTTCCCAGGCGCCTGGCAGCTCAGACCAGAAATAATCACACAGAAACTGTATTATTTAAATCACTGCTTGGCCCATCAACTCTAGCTTCTTATTGGCTAACTCTTGGATATTAATTTAACCCATCTCCATTAATCTGTGCATCACTACGAGGTCGTGGCTACCAGCAAAGTTTCAGCACATCTGTCTCCAGTGGCAGCTCCATGTCTGTCTGCATACAACTATGTCCCACCATTATAATGGACTAAACCTCTGAACTGTAAGCCACCCTAATTAAATGTTTTCCTTTGTAAGAATTTCCCAACAACCACATGGTGGTTCACAATCATTTATAATGGGATCTGATGTCCTCTTCTGACCTGCAGGCATACATGAAGGCAGAGAATGTATACATAAATAAATAAACCTTGAATACAAAAAAACAGGATTTACTAATGGATCTTTATGCTAGTCAAGTATAAAGCATAAAATTAAAGGTAAACTGTTGGGATTCCAGGTTTTCCCCTGTCTCTCGAGGTGCAAATCAAGGACTGTTTTGGCAACCAGCTAAAGCTTCCTGCTAAGTTCCATGCTTGTTCTGCTCTAGCCTAGTATAATAGCCTAGGGCTCTATATGGTAATCTCTCAACCTGCCCAGGAGAGCCCAGGCGCCAAGGTCCCTCTACCCTGTCTGACACTGCCCTGCACCCCTTGCCCACCTACCTGCGGAGAAGCTCACTTGGAGCCAGCTTCCCCATCCCCCTCTGGCTGGGAGGGGTTTTCCTCTTCTGGGGCCAAAGTATATTAACCCTGGATTAAGCTGAATAAATGGGCATTCTCCTCTTGGTGAATGACTCGAACTCTCTGTATGTGTGTGCAACTTGTGTTTAACCCCTAGGACTCTACCCAGCTCGTGGAAGGTATGGAGCCGAGGTCCATACCAGGTGGGTGGTGATGCAGACTCGGGTGTGGAATGTTTGCCACAGAGTAAACTTTCTTTAAAGGGCAGTGGTGGCCCATGCCTTTACTCCCAGCACTTGGGAAGCAGAGGCAGGGGGATATCTGATTTGTCGAGACTGGTCCCGACAAACTAGTGTACAGGGAGGGGAGTAAGTGTGGTACAAACCAAGGACTTAATGATCCAAAGCCAGACTACTGCATTCTATGGCTTCACTGGTGGGAAGTACTCCATCTGAAAGAGTAGAGAGCATGGGAATTGGCTAAAGGAACATCACCAAAGCTTCAACTGTTCCTCAGAAGTTGTCCCTGGAGAGCAGGGCTGTGTCCACCTACAATTTTATATTGATCTTGCAATCAAATGCCGAGTTAGCTAGGGATGGTGAATTGCCTCCAATTCTGTCTCCCTTCACTGAAGACCCCAATTGCTCGATAGCTGCTAAGGTAAAGAGGTCACGATAATAGACAGCCTGCTTTTGAAGCCCTCTGTGCTCCGAGTACAATGTGATGTCTGCGCCGGTGCTAATGCCTTCCTCTTGGGTCGATCAAATTCAGAGTAGTTCTTTGTCCTGATTGCTGCTCCATAACAGGAGTGTCCACTCTTCTGGTACCGGGATATTATAAACATTGAAGGATATCCTTTACCTAATGGTGGCAAAATAGTATCCATTGCCTTATCATACAAACAAGATAAAAACAATGAGACATGAACATGAAAACATAAAGACCCAGGACAGGATAGGCGAAGGCAGAAGCCAGAATTGTTCCAAAGAGGAAGGTCATCTTTGTTTAGTTTTGGACATCAAGGTTATCTATAAATCACAGAATTAATGTAGAGTCCACTGAATCTGCTTCCTTTAACTTCAGTCTGTGCAGCCATTAACCTTCTCTCTTTCCCATATTTTCGCCTTTTTCTTGAATTTCATACAGAATTTGTACAAGATGTAATCTTTCAAGTTTCAGTTTCTTCAAGAATATTCATCATGTGTCAAATACAGGCTAGAGAAAGTCAAATATGTCTCATTATCTGAGTGCCCTTCATTGGAATTCATCCTAGTAAAAACAGCTATCAAAAATCAGATTCTATCAGTTATATTTTTTCTAATATGCCTTAAAATAATTATTAAAATTAAGAATGCCTCTCTGAATACCATTAGTGTTCATTTCCTACGGCATCAGTGGTAAGCACATCTCATTTACTAAAATACTGAATTAAAAGATCTTGGCATCCTCTAAAAACCCTAACATCTTTATTTTCAGCCATTGGTTTGGACTATTGATGCTTAAGTAGCATTAAGCAAAATTTCTAAGTAACGATGATGACTGAACCCCATACAATATTGCAAGATGTGTATGTTTACCATTCCCTTAAAGGTGAACCTAAACATTTTAACTTTGCTATATATGCCCCCATTGTCTTGGTTACTTTTCTATTGTCCTGTCAAAACACCATGACCAAGGCAATGTGGCTTGGTACCGGTTATCAGCGAGGCATTCTCATCTTACTTCCTCTGCGTCTGGATGACGACCACAGACTGACCCTTTCCTCTTCCCAGAATTCTCCTGTTTGGTTGCCCCGCCTCTACTTCCTGCCTGGCTACTGGCCAATCAGCATTATATTAAAATACAAGTGACAGGGTATGGCCCATTGTCCCATAGCACTGTTGTGGCTAACTGATGAATCTGGAGGGAACGGAGAGAGAGGAGGGCGCCATTGTCAGGCTTTGGAGATGGGAGAGTTCTACATCTGCTTCTCCACGGTTTGTTTTGGTTTTGGTTTGTTTGTTTAATGAGGTGAAATCACATCAGTTTGGAATATCTGAAGCAACCTTAAAATATGAAAGTGTATCAGAAGTTGCCTGAGGAACAGGAGGGGCTCAGAATCATCCACTTTGATCATAGCAAACCCTGATGCCCGATCTACTGTGTTTGACTGTAGGCTGAAGGAATGACCCAAGACTTTGGAAAAGCAGAAGGGACCTATTTGAATCTGGGTATTTATTATCTGTGCTGCAATAATCCATGAGAAACAGTCTGTCAGATTTCTTACATTGCTACTAAATAAAGGTGCTAACTAAACACTTCTTTCAAGTTATTCTTCAGTATATATTATTTCAAAATAAACTTGGGTTTGTATTTGGTAATAAGTTTGTACCACAGTTCCAAACCCTAATTAATTCAAAGCTGGTCTGGTCTAAAGACTCAGTTGTACAGGAGTATGCTGAACGCCACCTCTGGCAAGGTGGTGTTCTACCGGTAACCTGATTCTGTGTCAGTCAGCTTTCATCACTTCCACAAAGCACCCGAGGAAATCTCTGAAAGTAGAGAAGCATTCTTTTGGCTCAGAGATTCAGTTCACAGTTGCTTGGCCCTGTTGCTTTGTGCTTGTGGTGGCATGGTGCATCTCACAGAAGAGAAAGAGAAGGTAATGAGACCTTCCAAACCTCCCATCTCCCCAGTTACGGAAGTGCCTCCAACCAGACCCCAACTCCTAAAGTTGTTCCACTCCCCACTACCACTCAGATGCTGGCAATCAACACTAGCAAATAGGTCTTCGAAAGACATTTAAGATCAAAACCCTAACAACTTCATTGCCATCTTTTCCTCTAAAGACTGTTGTGGGATTGAGCCCACAGTACTCTGCAGACATTCTTGAGCTTAACCAGCAATGTGAGTATGCCTACAATGTTAGCTTTCTTACATTTTGAGCTTTTTATTTTATACAAGAAAATGCAAATATTGCAAGTTCAGATTTTGCTTTTAAAAAAAAAACACTACCATAAACAAAGGCTACTTTGTAATCAGAATCCTAATTCTTTTTCTGCATGAAACAGCCTAGAACAGTGGTCAGTTGTAAATGGAAGGATTCCAGGAAGCTACTAACTTGATGCTGTCTATAAACGGGCCCGCGACGGTTTAGTTATTACTGAGTTTCTCTTGTTACTTGTTTTCTACTAAAACAAACTAACTAAAAATCCCACCCAGATCTTAGAATTCTTAAATGCTATTAAACATGCAAAGAGAATTTTAGTTTTACACACAAAAAAAATTGCAACTACGTACATGAAAACTGAGCAAGAGGATGGTTTTATGGAAGCTGGATGACGTCAGCAGACGTCATTTCCCTTATTTGGGAGGTTGCAAGCTCTTTTTCCAGGATTTAACGATTAAAAAAAAAATCAGCTATCAAAGACTTGGCAGGTTGCCTTTTATTTCCCAACAATATTAGATTCAATTTGGCCCTATTCCTGCATTGTCAGAGAGCTCTGAATTTAACCTTCTCCTTTAGACCTTTAGACGCAAACTATTTTCTTCAGGAAAAGTCAAACCGCCTTCAAAGGGTCAAAGAGTCCAGCAACAGCCCTACGGAGCGGGGAGCAAAGCGAGTCCAGGTAACCATGCGAATCCAGACCTCACGCAGCTCCTCGGATTGTGAAAGAAAAGCTAGAGGATCACGACCGACGAGAGGGATGGGACCAAAGGCTCCATCCATCCTCCGAGCAGGAGACAAAGGTAATTCAGCGCGTGCGGGGACGGGGAGATGACAGAGGGAGGCTCCTGGGCTCCAGCCGGGGACTGGGCAGGAGCAGAGCACGGTCCGGGGCGGGGCGGGGCGGAGGTTCCCGGCAGGAGGGGCGTGGC